CATGGAACATCGCGCGTACCTAGTTACGACCTAGTGAGGATATGGTACTGCTGCCACATTATGGAGTTCAGAATCCAAACGTACATGGGTGCGCCTCTTGAAATGGAACCCCCTCAACTCTTTTGTTTTCAGAGATATGAAGATATGTTGGATGGAGAAGTTTTTGGAAAAGACGCAAACTTTCATTTCGTGGAATTGTTTGATATACAGGTTCATTAGTTTTGCCAGAAAGGACATGAACTTTGATTTTTTCAATGGAACACCCTATATATTTTCCAACATGTCGATAGAGCATTTTTTTCTGATATCAAAAATATTTATGAGTTGCATATTTGGATGAAAAATAGTTGAGGTATTGATGATCAAAGTTTACCAATATGCTTTATGAACCTTCTCTTCATATCATCTAATAATACAAATACAAATACAAAATCTTTATTTCGATAGAACCCACCATTTCCGAGAAAAAACGAAAAATGTGATTAGTCTTCAAATTTTTTTACTCAAAATCGTTCAACATGAAATAACAAAAATATCAACCCAAAATTATAGTAACTGTTCGAAGTTCTGGCCATTGACTTGTTGACACATTGTGCAACGTCTTCTCATCGCAAAACGCGTATTTGAAAATATCTCACGGTTAGTATTTATGATTTCCGTTGCAGCCTTTATTCTTGCAATAAGTTCCTCCTCAGTTTCTACAATGGTGTCGTACACTAAGGATTTCATATGACCCCAAAGAAAAAAATCGATCGGATTCAGATCTGGTGACCTAGGGGGCCATACGTGAGGACCACCACGTCCAATCCATTGGTCACCAAATCTTTCACTGAGTAAAGCTCTTGCACTTCTGTCAAAATGTGCAGGCGCACCATCATGTTGGAACCACATGTTCCTTCTGATGACCAGCGGCACATTTTCCAACAATTCTGGAAGAACTTCTTGTAGGAAACGTCTGTAAATTGATCCATTTAATTTATTGGGTAAAATATATGGACCAATCAGACAATTTCCGACAATACCGGCCCACAAATTGATGGAAAATTTGGTCTGGAACCCACGTTGACGAATTTCGTGTGGATTCACGTCATTCCATACGTGACTGTTCCTTGTATTGAAAATTCCTTCTCTGCTGAATTTCGCTTCGTCAGTGTATAGAACATACTCAGGGAAATTTACGTCTTCACGGCACATTTCGTTGAACCAATTGCAAAATTCCACTCTCGTGGGATAGTCTCTCGGTTCCAATGCTTGTACTCTGGTGAGTTTATATGGCTGTAGCATTTGTTCTCGCAGTACTCTCCACACAATGGAATTGCTCACATTCAATGCTCGACCTATGGTTCTGGTACTCAACGATGGCCTCTCCGAAACCTCGTTCAATATTTCTTCCTCTAATCTAACTGTTCTTGTGGTTCTACGCCTTCCTGCATTATTTCTTCGGACACTTAATCTGCCTGTTTCACGAATTCTCCTTTCTATGCTGGCAAAAGTAGAATGGTGAGGTATTCTACGATTAGGAAATCTTTCTTCGTATAGACGTAATGCCATTCTACCGTTTCTTCTCGCTTCTCCATATAATAATAACATATCAGTCATTCCTTCGTTGGTAAAATCCATAACCAGTAGAAAAATCCAAGAATTTGAAACGAAATGTTATGTCTTTATGATCTTTGCAAATAAAACTCAGTTTAATTTGAGACAGCTTTTGACATCTATCAAAATGAATGAATAAATAAATATTGATCAAGTGTTTCCCTATAATTGTGAAAATGACTACTAGAAGGAGAAATGCGATCCTAAAATGAGGAGTTTAAGGATCATGTGATGTCAGTGGTAAAAAATTTCACAAGAGTACAGGCATTGGAAGACTATTATGTGAGAATAAAATATTAGAATAATTGCTTCAGCTAAATGTGTGGTGGACTCGCTAGTTTCCCTGAGTATCATACACCGATGAAGCAAAATTCAGAAATTCACCACGGCAGGAATTTTCAATGGAAACAGTCACATATAAAATAAAAAGAACTGACATGAAATTTTCCATCTAGATCTAGACCAAATTTTCCTTCTGGATCTAGACCAAATTTTCAATCAATTTGTCTGCTGGTATTCTGAAAATTACCTGGTTAGTTCATACATTCTACCTAATGCAATAAATGGATCAATCTACAGGAGATCCTACAAAAAGTTCTTCCAGAACCATTGGAAAATGTTCCGCTAAACATCAGCTGGAACATGTGGTTTCAACATGATGATGCCGGTGCCTATTTTGACAGAGGTGCAAGAGCGTTACTAAGTGACCATTTTGGAGAAAATGGATTGGACATGTACCATACTTGAGGTCCAAAGTATGGCCCCCTAGGTCACCTGATCTGAATCCGATTGATTTTTTGTTGGATAAATAAAAAAATCCTAGTTATAAGACATCATCGTTGAAACGTTGAAACTGAAAAGGAATTCGTAGCAGGAAACGAGGCTGCAACGGAACTTATAACTAAGCATAAACTATTTCCTTGGATGCGTTTTGCGATGAGCAGACGTTGCACAATGTGTCAACAAGTCAATGGCCAGAACTTCGAACAGTTACTATAATTTTGGGTTGATATTTTTGTTGTTTCATGTTGAACGATTTTGAGTAAAAAAATTTGAAGACTAATCACATTTTTCGTTTTTTCTCGGAAATGGTGGGTTCTATCGAGTTCAATCAAGTGAGCCTTTTTCAATCAAAATTAAATGGCCTTCAATAATACCACATGAAATTTCGAAAATTCATATCACAACACATTTTTTTTTGCAAAATCAATGAATCATATCCCTTAACGGCGCCACTGGATGAATTGTTGATTATGAATTTTTTGTCTGGAATTGAAGTTCCTCAATATTGATTCACTTTTCGAGTTTGAATGAAAAAAGATCAGCCGTTTTTGAGTTATTGCGAATAAATTATTTTTATTTCCCAACTTCAACACCCTGTAACTCGATAACTAATCACGTGGGACCCTTATGTTCCTACCTCATTATTCACCAAATCACGAGAGCTACCTCCTGTGAAGCGTTGTCGGTCGAATTTCGAAACACCCTGTATATACTAACAATACTAACATCAGCTAATATAAGCTGAACATAGTGGGCTCAAAAATGATGTTAATATATTGTTCAGGCTCCATGGAAATGTCATGATATTGTTTATTATGAAATCGAAATCATTCAGTCTCGATACAAAAAAATATGAATGGACAGTTTGAATGGAAGATGCGGTATTTTCATAAACTTTTGGTGATGCCACACTCACTAATTATTTGACAGCATTGGGACACCGTGAAAAACTCGGTGACCTTTCGCTTTTATATAAAACTTCCATGGTAAATGTTCTTCAGAAATATCTATCTCATTTCATCACTAGCAATGCCAGTCAGACGTACTCGACAAGCCCAGTCAGCACATTCTTCCGTCGTTAACCTCGAGATATATCAAACAACTCTTTACCAAAATTCGTTTGTCTATATAGAACAGCAAAGTTTTGGTATTCTTTGCCAAAGGAAAGATTCTCAGGAACTTTTAATCTCCAAAAGTTGAAAAAAAAATCGAATACCTATGCCTTATCTCCTTATTTCAATCAAAATACTGGAAAATGGCAAAATCCTGATTCCAAATTTCATCTATCTACCTACCTATTTCGCAAATCGTTCTAGAAAAATAAATTGCTGCTATTTATGGAAACTATATACCATTTAGTTTACTAGAGAAACCTTTATCGACATAATTTACTCCTTTATCATATCCGTAATGATCAACAAATCAGCTCATGGTAATCAATACTCGATGATGCATAATGCAATATTGGTACATAAACGAGGTGGTTCTTGAAATAAGTACACATATTCAGCTCATAGATATAATACAGTCCAACGAATATTCACAAAATATAAGATTTCTTTTGATTCTTCTGATCAACGAGGAATTTCATCTGAGAAATTGAACAAAAAAGGAAAAAATCAAGTACACGCCCCTTTGAAACAATTCAACTGGTTGAACTCCGCGTGATGGTGCCGTCTACACGGAATTTTGAACAGAGGTGACGTCAGAATGTCTACAGTTTAGTTTAGAACTTTGGAAGAAAAAGGTGTCTCATTTCAAATTTTATTTGTATTTGTAATTAATTTTATTGCTGCCATTCGATAGTTCACGTCGAGCTTCCTCAGAATTTGAAATATTTGTATTTATTTCAATGTCACCTGGCACCATGTTTATAACTACGAACTACGATATCCAGTAATCTAGATATACATGATTCACTTCTTCCCAATCAAGTTGATGTTAACTGAGGTCTTGATCATTTATTAAGGAATGATAATACTTCACTCGAAGCTTGAAACTTCATTTCGTTACACAATGTTGTTGTAATACAATATTCAACCTCATCCGTTTATTTGCTGCATATTGGCCTTGTAACGTTAATAACTATAGTTTTAAGGGTGCGAACTGAACTTCATTTTTAATAATAAAATCTTGTAACACCCTGTATGCTCGAACAAAAGAACATTGGACAACTCGAACGTTAACTAACTTGTTTATAATAAAATGGACAATTAGCAGGCAGCTGACATTTGAATGCTGTAGTGGTCGAGACGGTTCAGAATATTCTTATTGAATGTTCGAGAATGTTGAAGAATGTAACAGAATACTCCAGAATACTGTAGAATTTCCAGAAAGTTGGATAGTGTTCTGGAATGTTCCAGAATTATCTTTAAATCATCTAGGGTATTCCAGAAGGTTTTAGAATGTCCTAGAAGTTTCTGGGCTTGGAATTTCCGATTCCGAAACAATTGAGAATATGAACATTATAATGCATGAGTATTCCCCTATTTTGAGGTTCTTTCTTTGTTTCAAATTTGTATTGAACAAGCTGGCTGCCATGTAAAAAATCATTTTGGGATCTTATGTTGGAAACAATGATTTTCAACCACTGCATATCTATTCATGTCCGTGGTTTACAGACATAGAAGAAATGGTTTCCATTCTGTCATGTCTACGCAACTACATAGAACGTATGGGCAGCGTACTGGTGCGCCAGCTGAAGCGTCGCGACGCTCTGCGTCGTCAGCAGGAGGCCTACTGTGACGTCATCACGAAGCGATTAGCAAAGCGTGAGTACTTTTGTGTTCGATAATTTGACAGAGATGCCGCTATGATGATCTGAATTATAATTATTGAAATTTTCTAAATTTCACTCGAATAATCTGAATTCAAGTGAAGATTTTTACTTGTAGGCCACTGACTTTAGACACCCTAGTTCGCATAAATTTGCACATTCCTTTTTCTTTCTGCATGTTGTTAGGCTATGTCTCAATAGTATAAAACAAAGTTTTGCATGCTTTCAAAAACCTAGGCTGAAAGTGCGGTGCTCAAAAAACCTCGACATTTTTCGACTGATTTCAGTTTTTAGCAAACAAGTCCTATAAGGCTGCTTCTCAAAGAAAGGCAATCTGACCTTTTGTGAAGCTGGATAAATTTACTACCAGTTTGAGTGTCCGATCCCATTTCTGTAAGTCCGATACAACCCAAGAAAGATACATAAAAACTGCCACGTTTTTCAAAAAGATGAAAATTGCTCTTCTGAGCGAAATATCGGCACTAATGCCCATCCTTCGAGGAAGTTTATGGAGAAAAGAGTTCAATTTATGTTCATAATTAAGCGTGTAGGCTCAATAGCAACATTTGTTATCTTTGAAAATTACTATAGCCAAAAATTGGATTTTTGTAGAAATGAAAACTGATAAAGATTAGATTTACTGTACCAGTATATTTTGAGAAAGCGAAATGAAACAATCATATCGGAACATTATTCTGAAATTATTACTAGCAACTCTCAGAAGTCATCAAGAGACTTGTGCGAGTAGGAATGTACTATATATCATGCTGTCTTTGTCGTAAGTCTTTAGTTTCCTGGGAAGAAATAGGAATTCTAGAAGAGAACGCAGTATGGAGAGTACAGTATGTCCAGTTTTCGATGCTTTTTCGTCATATCTCAGTCATCTTTGGACATAGAACCTTGCGGTTTTCGCGGTCCTGTGTGTGAAACTCAAGTTGGCCTAATCAGATTTTGCATAACTGTTTCCGTTCATAAGATACAGAGCGATTCAGGAAATTTATACTTTTTGAACCCCCTCTATATCTACGAAGTTTCTTAGCGAAAATTACAAATTTTTTTTTAGGGGTATGGTTTGCAGATACGACTCAAACTTATGATTTTTTATATGGAACACCCTGTATTTTATAAGCTCATCGAATTCCTCATTTTTTTCCTTCAAGTTGATTTATGATGTATAGATTTTGAAATTTTCGAAAATCACAAAAGCATTGAATTTCAATAGTGGGCTATGAATTTTTCATATAAAAATAGTTCCAATTTGAGGAATATTTCTATCGGTATCTCCATGAAGAGAACACATACAATATCAACACCAACTAATAACAAAACACAAAAGTTAGGTATACCTGAAAAAAAGGAATAAATAGTAATAGAAACTTCATAATGTAGAATATATAAGCACTTCAACTTCGAAGTCTATAACTTTTCTCGTGGAATGAGTATTAGAGCCGATAATTTGCGCATAAGAGGACCAAAACTGCAATTTTCGACTTTTGAAAAAAAAATCCTGTATCTTGAGATTTCTTGAACCCACAATAATAAAATCAGACTCAAATTGTAGGAGATTTATCCAGCTTTACAAGAGGTCTGACTGACTTTTTCTTTAGGAAGCCGGCTTATGGGCTAAAAACCGAAAAATTTCGAGGTTTTTCGAGCACCACACTTTTAGCCTAAGCCTTTCGAAGCTGCAAACTTGGTGTCATTCTATTGAGGCATAGCCTAATAACATACAAAATGACGAAGAAATGCGAACTTTGCTCTACTTTTTGATCTAGGGTCAGCGGCCTACAGCTGCATAACACGTAACTGATCAATCGAATGAAGAAATTCTGTGTGTGCTATACCTGCAATTGAATTGAATGGGGGCTAACATCCTCCCTCTATATCACCAGTTGGCTCTAACCAGAGATTATACACTCTAAAACATGAGGTCAATGTCAAAGTCGAAAATCCCAAAGTTTCCCAGATATCCCTGTATGATATGGCCTGTTTTTTCGAGAATATTAGAAATAAAATTATGTAGAATATTTGAACTAATAGAAAACCTCAAGTCATCGGAAGATGTGAGCCGTTTTACGTTCTTTTCCAATGTGGAACAACAAATAATGTTAGTCCTCATTGAATTAAACTCATATTCTTGTTTTTTCTTTTTTTTTATTCGCTTCATTCGATAAATCAAATCGCGATTATTTCAATCAAATATACTTATTTAGACTTTATTGCTTGAATTCAGACTTTTCCTGAATTCAGACTTATTACATTGAAATGTAATTCATTTTCAAATCCACTTTTTTCTCTGAGCTCAGACTTGTGAACAAAGTTATTGATGAACAAACTCAATATTCGGAGTGGATCGATCATTCTGCCAGTGTAGAATCACAGTTGAGAGAATACTCAACTGTGGTAGAATGTAGAGTGTAACTCTGGGCACATCTCGGAAATAGGTTATTTATATTATTTATTAACATGGTATAGTCATCGTCTATACACGTACACGTATGTCTTGAACTTTAGTTTCATTATACACAATATCCGCGTATTTAGCTGTACTGTAAATACTTGGCATGATGATAATGATGATTCCGAAAAACTAAGCTTGAACGCACTCAAAATACATTAAAACTCGAATTAATAAATTCACAAGGCACATGTTGTCAGAATTTGACACAAACAAACCCCCAATCATTGGCGAAATTGTGCTCGGCTACCTTTGATCTGATTTTTGTTGAAATGTGCTTTTTCCTGTTGAATTCTAGGAAATGGTTTTCATTTTTTTTTCTCACAAAAGAATCGTGGTATAAGAGCAAGAGACGAATAAATATTTCTGATTGCTTAATCTAATGAAACAATATTGAACATACAAAAAAAAGTCATACAATGACTTGTCCTAATGTCAGTTAGATTACCCTCTATTACGTTATCAGTTTCCTAATAAAATAAAATAATAAAACAAAAATATCCTTATATCATTTTGATTACTTTCTGGGACGCCAATGGATATAATTCAATTCGGATTACATCAAATGATGCTCCGTTTCACCGCAAATAAGCATACCAAGTTTCATCGAAATCTGCCGTAAGTTCAAGCCGTAATTAATGAAGAACCGATTTTTTCTGAAAACTTTGACACCTTGTATATCGAAAACAAAGCAAGTTAGGACATATGTTCATTACAAGAAAAGTCCTATTTTTGCCCAAATAACCGACCCTTAACGTTTGGCGGTTTAACCCTGGGTCACCCTGTATATACCAATAGGTATTGGCTCAAAATAGAGAATACAAATATGGAAACAATGTTCGTAGCAAATATAATGCATTATATTTAGTATATAATTTCTATTATAACACAATATTTTATATAAGATATGCTATAAAATAGCTACTCGATACAGTGGATGTTATTGTTGGCCTGTCATCGATTCTCGTCGGCTATCGATGCTATACAGAAGAGTACCATTAGTATTTCCTCTATGATCAGAAAAAGTTACTATAATCGCTCCAATCATTCTTCGTCAAAAAAATTCCTAACAGGTGATTCTGGAAGAGTCCCGAATAATTCAATATTTATTCTTCACCACGACCGATAATCGCGAGTGGATCGAAAACCTTCTTCATCTAACTCAATTTTGAGTGATATATAATATGAATCCTCCGAAAAGCACATCAACTATCTAGAGAACCAATTCAAAACTATTCAGCTGGCCATTGACCTTTCAGGTTCAGGTGATTCCTGGAAAACTTCTAATCGATCGCAAACAGTTCCGACCCCAGGAAAATCAAGATTGTATTCAACTGTTCCAATGAGGTTCGAACCAATAACTTCTCTGAATACACTCTGATTTTTTTATTCGTGGCCCTTAAAATTCACATTCAACATCAGTGAGCGCAGTGAAATAAGATAAAAGAGAAACTATGCCCTGGATATCGAGATCAGAATATTTTGTATTCTTACGGAATTCAGTATTCCATTCTTTCTTACAAACAACAGTGAAATATCAAATATCACCCTGTTCCATACAGATAAAGACCCTCCAATGCGTACCCATCGTCATTCAGCGCATACTCCAGTTGGATGGAAATCCGGAAAACATTCACCGATCCCTGGAAAAGAGCGTCCTTGTCTAACACTTTCATTCAGATAAGGAAAACCCTAATCGTAGGGCCTCAATATCGTTTTCCCAATGTTTCTCTACACCTGATAACTCGTGTGCTGTCAGTTTGTTACAAGTTATCCTTTGGTACGAACATGTACCAATGTACAAATGAGTGGATTATTCAACTCGATAAGAAAGGCTACGAGTGCTAGTTTTGATGAAGCTTCCTCAAGTAAGTCATTCATTCACATCACAAAAATGTCCCTAAGTTGTTTCTGTCTCATATTGTTGTCACATACCTAATAATTTCAGCCACATAATCTTTGACATGGTGATTATTGTTATCAATGTTGATTTGATTTGGTTATGTACGGAATATATCATAGACATGGACTAATTGTAGACGTATATGAATGTATATTCATGACTAGATATTGTTTGAGGTCTGATTCTAAACGAACACATACCTAATTAAAAGATATACATGAGTATAACGTAATGTTGGCTGGAAATTTAGGTTAGATTTGATTGTTGTGTTCCAAGATTGAGGTTAATTGGCCTCATATGAAGTGTTAGTTGGGAATCCACTATATCAGCAATTATACGACATATTACAATTATGGTTCAATATTGAAACCTATAGTTGATTTCGGTATTTTGAGTGTGGGTATCAAAATAAACCTGATGTTGTATTTGTAATCAGGTAGGAGAAGGTGAGGAGTCCTGGCAAGTTGGATATATTTGCACCAGGGGGAATGCATTTTTTCCTTGAACTACTCTCCGCATATTGAGGGAAGTCGCAATTTGAACTGCTATTGAAGCTCCTGTCCCAGCAGGCTGAGTTCCTTGCATTTTCCAAGATTTGTTTCCCGGTTTCTATCTTGATTTAGTACATGTTGAA